AAGCTTAGCAAAGCACAGGGACTGCGGTTCAATCCCCCAGCACCACATGCCAGCCAGCCCCGCCCCCTGGTGGGCTGAGCTGACCACACACACACACATATAAATAATTTTAAAAAATTAAAAACTGAAGAAAGGGCTGAGGATGTAAGTTCAGTGCAAAAGCTGTGGGTTCACAGTTGATGGCACACCCCTGTGATCCCAATACTGAAAAGGCTTAGGCAGGAGGATTACAGCAAGTTCCAGGCCAGTCTAAGCTACATAGTGATATCCTGTTTCAAATAAAACAACATACTGGGCATGGTGGCACGCACCAGTAATCCCAGCACTGGGGAGACCGAGGCAGGAGGAATGCTGGGAGGCTAGCCTGGGCTATATAGTGAGTTCAGGCCACTCTGAGCTACATAGCGAGACACTGTCTCAAAACAACAACAAAAAAGACCAGAGTACAGTGTGACTCTGATCTTATAGCCATTGCATAATATGGCTCTTGCACACCTCTTCTGCCTTGTTTTCTGTAGTTCTCTTTCTTTTCCCTAGATGGCCTTTGCCTGGGTCCTAAGATACATAGCATTTCTTCCTGCTGCAGAGCATGGTCATGACATTACCCCCAGCACTTGGGCACAGTAAATTCCCAGTTGTTCTTCAGATTCCAACTTAATGCTATGTCCGCAGCAGTGTTCTCAGTCCTTAACTTCCCAGAATCCTTAGCTTCCTGTGTTAAACATATTAATATCGGGGCTGGTGAGATGGCTCAGTGGTCTAAGGCACCTACTTAGAACAAGCTAAGCCAAGCAAGGCACAGGGACCTCGGTTCAATCCCCCAGCACCACATGTCAGCCCGCCTGCCCCCTGGTGGGCTGAGCTGGCCACATACAAATAAATAAATAAATAAATAAATAAATAAATAAATAAATAAATAAATAAATAAATAAATAAATAAATAAATAAATAAATAAATAAATAAATAAATAAATAAATAAATAAATAAATAAATAAATAAATAAATAAATAAATAAATAAATAAATAAATATTTAAAAAATAAAAATAAAAAAAAATAAACATATTAATATCTTCTGTCCCTCTTTCTAAGATGAACATGACTGCTGAATTTCATGTTGACTCCTATAGTCTTATTTATTTATTTATTTATTTATTTTGTGGTACTGGGAATCAAACACAGGACTTTGTGCTTGCCAGACAGGTGCTTATGCTACTGAGCCATCTCCCTCACCCTGTCATTTACTTTCTTTCTCTCCTTCTGGACTTTAGCTGTCATGCAGTATTTACGTATTGAACATTGTCATGACACCTAATGTAGTACCTGAAACTGAGGAGTTTGAGAACTACTTGTTCACCAAAAGTGTCCATCTGTAAGGGCACAGAGTAAGCATGACAGCTTAGGGAATCAGAGTGACTTCCCTAACATCACCTGGCTATAACCAGCAGAGAGAATTTAAGCTGTACAGAATTTTCACTCATTGTACTCTTAGTATTTGTTAAACTTATAGTGGCAAATGCTAGTTTGGGGAGTTGTTTTTTGATTTTCATTCTATTACAGACCAATTCTTTCATAAAAAATATTTTGATCAGAAATTTGGAATGTTGTGAGGAGGTCAGATTATTCTAAAGGTCTCTAAGCCCGCTACAGAGCAGCATTGGAACATAGGCCACACTTGGAGTAGCGTTAGATCAGCTCCCAAAGCAGAACACATCACGGGTCACCTGTAGGCAAAGGGAGGGAAGCTGGGCATCAGGAAGACCTGTGTGGGAAGATGACGTTTGAGGGAGATGGGGCAGCACAGTGAGTGGAGCTAGCAGCCAGGGGAGCTGCAGCAGGAGGGTGGCAGGAGCCCAGGAGCTCTGACTGCTCACGCAGTGGTTCTTACTGGAGTGGGGAGAGAGAAAAGAAAGAAAGTACATGTACAGTTTCCTTGGGTTGGGTTGGGTTTACTTTTTTTCACTTTGCAAGATTTCCACTAACTTAAGGGCTTTTTCTTCTTTTAAATAACTTTTGAAAACAGACAAAATGAGCATCTTTATCTGTTTTATTTGGTATTTGTATCTGAGTGATACTCAGTACATAGCAGTCTGATATCTGTAGTGATTAGCTTGTGCTCAGGTACCAAAATTGGAATGGGACAGAGAAATTTAACATGGCCCTGGGCAAGGGTGACACACCAATTCATGAAGCATTCCGTATTTTTAAAGGATGTTCAGATCACTAAAAATTTTCGGCTATTCAGTTAGTTTCATCTATCTGTGTGTGGAGAACTGATTAGCAGTCTGAATCGTAATGGGATTTCTATTTTTTTTTTTGTCTGTCAGGTAACACCCTTCTCAAGGCCTGTCCTCATTTCTCTGTTTATTAAGCAGTTTCTTCTTTTGTCCTAACCCTTCCCCTTCTGACTCCAAGTCTTTTGAGTAATATCCAACAGTTACTCTTTTCACTGAGAAAGTTTCTTCTTAGCGCATTATAAAGAAAAAATTGAGCCTTCTTCAGATATGTTTAGAACCAGTTATTTCTGAAAGCTACTTAAAAAAAAAAAAAAAAAAAAACACCTTAGTGTTAAGTTATACGTGTTGATTTTTAAGATACTTGAATGTTGGAAAGTTTCCACATGTAGTTGTTGCCAAGTAGGTCCTCTCTTGTGTTTAAATAGGTCTTCTACTTTATTCTCTCTTTTTCTTCTAATGTTTCACTTTTTTAAAAATCTCATTATCTTGGTTATATTTTTCAGTCAAGTCTTAATTCGAAGCAGAGTCCTCCGGGAAAATGGAAAATACATTCCCAAACAGGTACTCATTTACAGTATCTTATTAAAAAGCTCTACCTTTCTCTGTTGAGCAGTAGATAGTTGGATGTTTTATAAGAGGACTCTTTCGGGAGAGCTGGAGGTTGGCAACTTAGAAATTAAGCTGTGACCTCGTGGTTGCTGTCATTGTGACCTTATCCTTCTTAGGAATTTTTTTTTTAAATCTGACTCAGCTAAAGTGTCATATCAGCTGCCAAGTAGGCCAACAGCCCTGAGTGTCACCTCCTCTTCCAAGAACTTTCTGACCCACTGTTTGGGGAATGGTTTGATGATTTGCTTGTCACAGTTCTTGGACTTAAAAGTTTTTTTTCCCTACTAGTCTTTCTTGACACGGAAATATTACTTCAACAACCCAGAGGATGGATTTTTCAAAAAAACTAAAAGGAAAGTAGTGCCACCTTCTCCTATGACTGGTATGTTCATTCCCCTCTCTCCCCTTTGAAAAAGATTTTTAGCCTGGGTTGTTGGGTGTGGTGGGGGAAGAGACAGAGAGTGTATAGATTCTTAAATATTAAATTATAGAGGATAGTATACCCAGGGGCCTTAGAAAATATGTAATATGGAAATCTATGTAACCCCAATTCTCATTTTTAAATAACTCTTCTGTGCCTCCAGTGTCGAAAGCGGGTTTTGGAAGTGCTCTCAGCTGATGGAGTGAAAGAAGGTAGACCCTCATCCCTGGGTCTCCTTGCTGTTCCTTGGAGCAGATAGAAGTTTTCCCATCCACTCCTGCTTGTGCCCTATTGCTGGCAGCCAGCCCCTAATCCCTTCTGGCTGAGCAAGGAAGAGCTCCAGGACTCAGGCCAACCAGGTCCTCGCAGACACTGCTTGGTCTTCTTCAGTTTCTGCTCTGACAGATTTATGACTCCCACTGATCCCTGTCTTGGAAAAATATGACAGGTTTAAAACAAAATAATTTCTTGTTTTACCACTCATTTCTTTAGCTCTTTTAAACCTATGCAGAATATACTAGAGTTAAGAAAATTTAGGAGAAGCCAAGCGTGGTGGTACACACCTGTAATTTCAGGACTTGGGAGGCTGAGGCAAAAAGATTGTTTCAAGTTTGAGACCAGCTTGGGCTACAAAGTGAGCTCAAGGTGAGCCTGAGCTGCATAGTAAAACCCTGTCTCAAAAAGATAAGAAGAAAAAGAAAACAGGTGAAAAGGCCAACAATTATATGAAAATATATTTGATCTTGTTAATAAGCCATAGAATAAAAATTAAGACAAGATTCTTAGGGACCAGGGAGATGGCTCAGTGGAATAAGCGCTTCCCTGGAAAGCGCAAGGGCCTGAGTTCAATCCCCGGTTCTATTAAAAAAAAAAAAAAGATTCTTTTTTTAGCCCATTAAATTGACAAAGATTGAAAGATTGACCCAAGTCACTGTTCACAAGAGTGGCCAGGCCACATGGTCACATCTCATTGAGGGACAGTCTGATAAAATCTGAGTGTTTTGTAGTGCTAGGCACTGACCCAGGACCTTGTGCACACATGTAAGCCTTCTTGCAGTGACCCATACCACAGCTGCTAATAGCTGTCAGTTTTAAATCTTTATACCCCTTAACACAGAAGTTCTTCCAAAAATTTCTTCTACAATTGGATGAAGTGGTATACACCTGTAATCCTAGCTGTTCAGGGGACTGAGGCAGGAAGATTGCAAGTTGAAGGCAGCCTGGGCTCTGTAATGAGACCATCTCAGAAAGGAGGACAGGGATATAGATCAGTGCAAGCCCTGGATTCAAATGCCAATACTGGGAAGGGAAAAAAAGGCAAAAAAATCTTCTCTTATAGCAATGCTTAGATAACCATGCAGATTTGTGTATGAGATACTTACATGCTATATTATTTATGGCAAAAAAAAAAGTTGGAAAGCCACGTGTGGTGGCACACTCCTATAATCCCAGCACTTGGGAGGCTGAGGCAGGAGGATTGCTGTGAGTTTGAGGCCAGCCTGGGCTATGTAAGGAGTTCAAGGCAAGGCTGAAGTACATAGCAAAAACTTGTGTCAAAAACAAAAAGTTGGAGATTCCCACCCAAATTCTTTTATAGACGCTGAGATAGTAAGAGATAAATATACCAATGTGGAAATATCGCCCCCAAAATTATTTAAAATATTAAGAAAGTGGGGTGTGATGACACATACCCGTAATTCCAGCACTTCGGAGACTGAGGCAGGAAGATCTCTATGAGTTTGAGACCAGCCTGGATTATATAGTGAGACCCTGTTCAAAAAACATACAAAAATAAATAAGTAAAACATTAAAAAGCATAATATAAGCCCAGCACTTGGGAGGCTGAGACAGGAGTTTAAGGCCGGCCTGGACTACATAGCAAGTGCAAGGCCAATCCAAAGCACCCTGTCTCACAAAAGTGAAAAAAAGGAATATATTGCACATAGATTCCTTTGTACTGTGTATGTATAAATTGAGAGGTGGAAGAATACGCAAGAAATAATTCAAAGTGTTTAGTGAATAAGCTGAGAGGAACAATCTGTATCTTAATGTCTATGCCAATTGATTTTTTTACAATGAACACGTGCCTCATGAATTGTCCAACATACTAAGTTTCCAGAAAACAGGAGTGATAAGCCCTTGGTCCCTGTGCTTCCACCGCAGATCCCACGATGCTCACGGATATGATGAAGGGGAACGTCACGAACGTCCTCCCTATGATTCTCATTGGCGGATGGATCAACATGACATTCTCAGGCTTTGTCACAAGTGAGTTGTAGACCAGCAGTCCTCGACTGCGCGAAGCCTTGTGTCCCCACTTGGAGAACCCTGTGCTGCAGAGAGGATATCACAGGCATAGGTTTCCTTATGGAAACTGACAGTATTTTCTAAATGTATTA